CCCCCACCACCAGCACCACCACCAGCAGCACCACCACCACCACCACCACCACCACCACCACCAGCACCACCACCAGCACCACCACCAGCACCACCACCAGCAGCACCACCACCACCACCACCACCACCACCACCACCACCACCACGACGTCGTCATGCATTTTTTTGCTGGCTTTTCTTGTTGCGTCCACTAGTCCCATTGTTAGTTTATTCTTTTCATGCTGCTGTATGCTGGTCCTGTGTCGATTCTGCAAGACATCTTCCCCCCCCCTACACCTCGCACCCGCTCCGAACAGCTCAAGAGTGCCCATTTACAGTGTTTAGGCTCCAAGAAAGCATCTGCTGCTGTAAGATAAATGAAGTATTTGAGTTGAGGCGTGTAGGAAGCCGAGAAAGCTGTGTTTCGTAGAGCCAACACACCAGAACGCAGCGAACAGCAGTATAAAGTGAAACAACGTGCCCAAGGGCTAGATTTGGGTCCTTTACCTACCAGGCCCATCCACCCAAAAACATAGAGTCTCCCAAGGATGGAATCCCCCCGGCTTCCTTTTGTAAAGCCTTGAAAGCCCCACCCCCCACTTCCGAATCAAGGAAACCCACACCCCAGAAGACATCAAACCCTGAAAGCTGGAACGCTAAATTACTAGGATGGGTGATGGTCGGGAAGCCTGATGAATTAGAATTCGAAGTGTCGACGTTTTCGTAATGGTCCTGGATCTGAGCCGAAGGATCTACATGAAAAGAGCTTTAAACCTAAACCGCAGAAGCAGTCAACACCTTCCCATTCTGCACTGAGCAGTTCTGGGAAGCTGATAGCCCACACGAGTGAAGGGCTTCGGTGGCCGAAAGAGAACGGAATCCAAGTCTTTGCTACAACCAGCATGTCCTGCAAGGCCGAACAAGTTTGGAAGAGAAGCCTGGGCCGCCTGCCGCAGAACGGATGGGTGCTGTTTGGGCTCCTGCAATTGTGCCGAAAATCCACCTCATCTCATGCGGCTCATCAGCCGAACTGCCTGGACCTGGAAAGAAAGTTCAACCACTCCTGGAGTCATGCTGATGTATCTCGGCAAGCATGCCATGGCGTTGAAGGGATGGGGGCAACTTGGCTGTTGCCCATACCTTGTGCAGGTGGTGCTCCTCAATCCGGCTGATGTATGGACACCAAGTCAGTCACGGGCCAGGGAGCAGGAGAGCGATTTATTTTATCCGCAAAGCTACGGATTCGGATGGGCGGCAGCGGCGGCCACAGCTGTCACGGCTTCGATGGTCTTAGCTTTCATGACAGGCATTGGCCGCGCAGCCAGGAACTCTTGCGGTTCATGTGTGTATCATCGTTTGCGCGACACAGAATCAGCACTGCCCGACGTTGGAGCTTCAAGTTGACCGGATGAAATGAAGGGATGATTGCTCCCGGCTCGCTCAGCTCGCTCCAGTCAAGGAAGGGAAAAGCCACCGAAACCGTCAGCTCATGGTAGGCCTTGTGGTGATGCCATGCCTCAGTTGCGACTCAGGTCTGAAGACAGATTTGGAATCAAAGTTTTCCGCCAGATCCCTGGAAGCCCTCATGGATCAGACTTAGATGTCAGCCGTACTGAGCCGCCAGGTGATATTTCACAATTATGGCCAGGAGCTGGAGAGCTTGAAGGAGCAAAGATGGGGGAAGTAAGTTGATTCAGACTACAGCCATGCACTGGTGCCATGGAGCACAATAGGACCTCTATGAAAAGCATCGCGGCTCTCCTCAGATTGTGCGGAACATGCCGCCCGTGGCCGGTCTGGGCCCTATTAGCATAAGCAAGGTCAGCACTGGTCGTATTCCGAATTCAAGCCTCAGGAAACATAATGTGGTCGCCTTGATCTCAGCAGCGGCTATAAACCAATCAGGGTCAGCTGCTGTCCTAACACCTTGGACAGAAGTGAGGCGTCAACTACTGCACCGGATCATGGAGCCAATGCAAAAGATGCCACCTCAGCATCTTCTGACAGTTCCTGCATTCTGATTTGTGATTATCCAACCTATTGAAGTTTTATTTTCATGCCTCCAGGCTTAATTATGCATGTGTGCATTCAAAGCCTGGAGCAGAGGTTTCACCACAATCCCCTTGTTATGGCAGGAGGCCTTTCGTCTAGAAGTCTGGTACGTGCAGTGTCTCAGCTCTGTTTTGAGACCTAGCTCAAGACCTTGCAGGCAAGGAGGCCAAACGTGTCATCAAGATATACAACAAGATGGATTGCAGCTCAGTTTTCCGGTGACAAGACCTTGTTATGAGGTCTCAGGAAATCGGGGCATCTTGCACAAGATTTCGGCACAAAATTCCAAGCCTCAGGGGTCGGGACGCCTGCGTTAACCTCTTCAGGGGTGTTTTGTTTCCAAAGGTGAGACCAAAAGATGTACCTCAATTCAAGTGATGGAGGCCGCGCAAGCGGGTGCTCTCTGGGTTACATGGCCTCGCCGCTTCGCGGCTCCAGTGACGGAAAGGAAAGGTGAAGAATTCCAAGTGGCCCACTCCACTTTGCATCCACGTTTGGGCCATGTCCAAAAAGGGTTAAACAGATTAAATAAGAGCTCCTTGCCCAACATGTGCAAAGGCCAAGACATTGGTGGAATTCGAGATTGTGTGGCACCAGGAAGCATGCAATCCGCTGCATCTCGTGTTTGTGCATCAGAGCTTGGGATGTCAGGCTTGGGTGAGCTCTATTGAGACAACAAAGGCCCCAAACCTGCACAGCAAACAGTCAGATTAACAATTGCGATTTTGCATTGAGGCTGGCTTGAACGCTACACTGCTCATCAAGCATCCCGAGGACGACCGGTCTCACAGCCGACGGCTCCCCGCAGTTGAAACCTTTCATGGTGCAATGACAGCGCACTTCCCTGAATCCTCCCAATTTGGGATGCGTTGCTTCCAAATCTCCTCAATCCTTCAACTTCTGTCTGATCCCTGAACTACATCAACCAACCCCACCGGTCCCTCTGACATGTCCCTGCTCTTTTTGCACCGGTGCATCGGGTGCTGTGCATCTTCTTGCTGTTAGATGGTCCCAGCAGACGTGGGTGTGCCTCGATGGGCGTTGCAGTCGCTGCCCTCCTAGCTCGACAAAGTCGACAAATTAAAGTGGTTGCTTGGGGTGCTCGTCCTGACTGCTTTCAGTTTTTGTGGGAAAGGAGAACGTTCCGGCAGCTGGACAGGCTTTGGGAAGTTGTTACAACATCCTGGTCCTGTTGACACTATGTATAAGAAAGTAAAGAGAACCATGCAGAAGAGCAAAATCAAGTCGGAAAAAGCTCAAACAATATTGGAAGGGTTCTCAGATCGTGCTCGAACACTAGTTTTACCCAAGGCCCTCCGCTGGTTGCCAACCACCCAACACTGCCAAGACGTCATCCGCCTGTTCGCCGTTGCGGCACAAGCCAAAGGGTGAGGGAGGGGGCGGATGAAATCCTATGAGCAGAGCATCAACGCGCAAACCATGGTAACCTTCGAGTGTTCGAAGTATGTCCGATGTCCAGTTTTACAGCGATTTCGGTGTGGAAGGGGAAGATCTGACAAAGCAAGGCCAAAAGACTGCCCAAAACCTTGTGGCTTGTGAGAAGAGCAGGGGACGTTTGGTAAGACTCTTACGGTAAGACCCATCTCGCAGTGATTCGCAGGCTTCATCCAATTCACCCCAGTTCAATTCGACTCTGCCGGTCTAACCGCTGCGTATTGTCAGCGGCACGTTGCGCTGGATAAAGAGAGCTCACGACCGTCGTGGGGCAACGTCGTGCACGGATCTCATCTGTTGGACTTTGACATACTCTGACACCGACAAGAATTTGTACCTCTGCCTCACCTTGGGAGTGAGCAACACTACTGGGTTGCCTAGGCCGCAAATCTTCTGCTCAATTTGAGTCAAAGATTGAGCGATGAAAGACTCCGATCAAGACCGTGCGTTCACACCAAGTTATCGTCGCGCTCGTTGACGCTTCGCCTGCAGGCGAGCAAGGGCACTGTAAATGGCCGACCGCGAAACACGTATGTACAGCCACGCTGCGATGCGCCATGTATACTGTACAGTATGCCCTCCAGGCTGCGACGGCGCTCGGTTCAGAGCCAAACTTTGTGAAGTTAAATGCGGCTAGCACAATTTGCAACTGTCATGTGGCCGCATGCTTCGCACCCAACAACTTGATTGCTAGCCTTGAGTAAACATTCCGCATCAGATTGCCGACAAGAAGGGCCAGCACCTTCCCCTTCGTGGCTTCAATCATACTTTCCCCAATTAGAGACTTTTGCGGGGGTTGTGACTTTCTGCCCGTCACGTACAGGTACTGCGGGCTCCTTTCGCCCGCATTCCCTGTAGTTGGGATGATTATTGTATATTATTGTTATTGTAGGAGACTTGGATTATGAGTAGGAGTAATTAAGAGTAGTAGTAGTAGTAGTAGTAGGCGTCCCCCCCCCTAGGGCCTACACTTTACTTAAAATGGACTAGAATGGGAAAGGGGTGGGGGGGTGGGGGGGGGGGTAGTTCCGTGCTGAGAAAGTTGATTCGGGAGGCAACAATTCGTGGGATGTGCGTTTTGGAAAGTATAGGGATTATAGCATTAGGGGTTTTCGGCCAATGATCTAGGCAGGAAGTTCTTCGACCGGTAGCACATTCCAGTGG